GAAACTAGGAGAGACAACTCCACTTTAAGTCTTCTCAAATTCTTTAAACCCAGTATTGACAGTCCTGTTTCACTAACTAAAAATTCACAAGGTATATATGAGGAATTATCATCTCTTATTAGCAATTCACAACATCCTCGTATAGGCAGTTTGTGTCCAGTAATCCCCAATATTGATACTTCAGTGGGTCGTATCACAACGTTCGGATCTAACAATTTCAAATTCTTGAATGAAATAATGGACTCTATACTGCCTGTGTCCACAATAAAGTCATGACATGAACCAAGCGATGTATATAGTCACTTTCGAATATGAGCATTACCTTTTGAAATGGTAGTTAAAGATAAATGATCATTAGGATCAGCTGAATTATTGGGATCTAAATTACAAGCTTTAGTACTACTTGAGGCAAAATGAACAGTAGCTTTGCATACTGCTTGAATGTGTCCTATCTTACCACATCTAAAACATTTAGCATTACGAAATGTACAATAATAACGAGAATGAAGTTTTCCACATGATAAACATTTGCCAAACTTGGTCTCACCTTTTTGATTTCCTTTGTAATTCTTTTTTGAGACACCGTTCATTTTTACACGAGAATAGGAACCTCTGTTAAACGAACACAATTTTGATTGACCCTGAGATTGCTTTTCATCATGACAACTAATCAAAGTATTGGAAATCTTCATCGACTGAATATCAAGTTCATTCAACGCCTCGTAGTTAATGCACGCAGTTCTAACATCTTGAAAGGAACAGTTTGACATTCTTAACAGCTCTCTTTCCAAACTAGGTATGTTAATTCCTGCAATTAATCGGTCTCTCAGCTGCACATGAAGTTGATCACCAAAATTACATTTGACAGCCTGTTTCTGCAATTCAAGAATGAATTCCTTAACATTTTGGTCATTTTGACGAGTCATCTTATGAAATTTCGCTCTTTCACGGCATTCAAAACCAGGGCACTTTACATGATTCAATAATAACTCCTTTAGCATTGCATAGGGAAGTGAAATAGGTTTTTCTGGATATGCCAAAGTTTTTAATAAGCTGTACGCTTCTTTTCCGATGAATGTTAGGAAATAAGCCACAAGTTTATCATCTTTGACATCTTTCCTGGTCATACTCCAGATTTCAAACCTTTCCAAATAATCTTCAAAAGCTTCAGAAGTAGAATGAATATCTAGCTGTTCCATTACAAGTTCCATCGCGACGCCACTGTGATACTTAGAAGTATATGAATCAAGAATTAGGATATGCACAAACGAATGTATTGTATTTAGAATTCGAAATCAAGCATTCCACAACAACAAGAAGTTACTAGTTCATTCAAACACCATAGAGTCATCAGCAGTGCATTCTCTCGACTCCTGCTATTCGCACGATTCGAACCCATGACCTTCGGTTTGGTGCGCGAACGCTTGACCTTTTAGAACACTGCTCCAGCGCTCTACGGTATTCTTCTCTGATTTCGATCAATCTAGTATATATTGTACAACCTCACTAGGACAAAACGGACGGCCAGTCGTCACCTAAAAATATGATCGATTTATGATTTTAAATGAATGACATGATAGCTGCATGAAACATGTGCATCCGGTTTTAAACTATTGACAGAATACATAGACTAAAAATGACGGTTCAATTACTTTGTAGTTTTGTCCTTGCATTCAATAAATTAATTTAACGAAACCGCTGACAAAAGAGAAACTTTCTATGCGCTGGTTATTTATACATTAGGAATGTTTTATTCTATGAAATTCTGTGTATTGTGAAACCTGTTTCCCCTTAATTATTCTTCTTTGTTAGTAACCAATATACGATTAACAACAAATGGTAAGATATAAAATTTATGAGAATAATTTGCTAATCCAACGTTTATTTACGCATCATATGATCTACGTTCTTGTGTTTATTAGTAGTAGACAGTTTGATTGATGTTATATGATATCAGTTCACTCTTTCTAAACTAGTTTTTGAATATAACCATGATTACTTGTCTAATGTAAATCAATTTTTGTGAGATAATGAATTGTTGAATTTGAGAAAAAATCTTCTTACTTACTTACTTAATTACTCCTGTTACCCCTAATGGAGCATAGGCCGTGGACCATCTTTAACCAGCTTACCCGTCCTGAGCCTTCCTTCCTAGTTCTGCTCAATTTTTGTTCATTCTTCTCATGTCCGTCTCCATTTCTCGGCTCAATGTGTTTTGAAGTCTTCCTCATTTATTTTGTCTCTGAAGATTCCAAGTTGAGGCTTGGCTTGTGATACAGTTGGATGTTTGCCTCAATGTATGTCCAATCCACTTCCTAAGCTTCTTCCTGAATTCAAACAAGGCATTCTAGCTTTTCTAGATAAAGCCATTCTGGTTAACCTGTTTTTAATGATTTAGTTTTCTATGGGATGCGGTCGCTAACCCTATTCCCAACCTCACTCTTTTATTTGAGCTTGGAACCGGCAGTAACTCCGAAGGAGCTCTGCGAGGAGTGGACATAAAATATAAGATGTCATATTTTATTCAGAACTTTTCATCGGTTTTGAAAATTAAAACAAAAAGTTTTAAAAAGACGATAGCTAAAAATTATTAGTGGTAGATATTGTTTTATTTGATAAATCAATGTTAACCAATAAGGAAGTTGATTTGTTTTTTATGTGAGTTCAATTTTCTATTATGAAACGAATTTTGTAGGCGCTTGTGAATGCTTCTATTGGTGGTCTACCAACGATCGATACACGATTTTAAATAATAAAATATAATTCAGCATTGATTTTAGTTCTCAATAGTTTTCAATGAATTAATTTTGATGAACATTTATGACTGTCAACGATTGTATATTCGAGAACATCTCACCGGTTAACATCAAAGATAACTTCAACGTTTCGCATAGCTGTCTTATGACATTAACAAAAATTTGAAATTAGCTAATTTAAATCGGGTTCTCAAAACAATTGTTTACTACATAGCTAGCTAGTCATATTAATGAGACTGTGAATTTGAAATTCTGTAATGTGTAAATATGAATATGAATTCTTGGTGTGAGATGGGATAAAAATGACGATAAATATCAAAATATGTTGATTCAAATTAGGAATCGATCTTTGTTAGGTCAATAATAATAACCTTAAAGCTCTAAATGGCCGTCACGTCCTAGTATGAGACTCATTAACAATGCACATACACGATGCCCACTGACGGGAATCGAACCCAGGACCCTCGGTCAGGCTTCGTGGTGGAATTATCGGAGTTGTGGTGAGAAGCTGTGACCAGCTGAATTCAATCGTCCTGGGGGGCAGGTAGTAACTGCCGAAGACAAAGGGTGAAGTTGCGCAAAATTCTTAGATAGATCAGCGTTAGACATTACCACCGTTAGATGTCAGCTCATGTATCTAGAGGCTAGGCATTCGCGCGCGAAGGCCCGAAGGCCTCAAGGTCCTATTCCGCAAGCAGAGGTCATGGATGTGCACTGCTGACCAGTCTCAAACTACAACAGAACGGCCATCCAGTACTTTCAGGTTTCTAATGATGGTCTAACAATTATTGATTCATTATTTCAATGAAGCTCAATACTCTCTGTTGTCTGCATTCACCCATATATGTAGACCCACTGTTGTCCTCCATCTTTGCAGACAAAAGCGAAACATTACTGAGTGATTTTGTATCATTAAATTTAACTGAATTTCAAGCTTCATCGTTTTGCTCAGAAACGATATGTCGGTCATTTATTCCGCCATATTCTAAACTTATACATTTTGTTAACTTATAAATAATACGGGGTTGTGAAGATTGTTAAGTTACACATTTTTGAAACCATGAGTCGATCAATGTTAGACCCCCCATTAGAAACCTGGAAGCACTGAAACACGGCCGATTCGTCCTGGTATGGGACTGCTCAACAGTGCGCATCCACGACTCCTGCACCTCACAGGACTCGGACCCGCGGCTTTCGGTATTGTGCACAAACGCCCTAACTGTCAGACCACTGAGCCGGTATCTAACGGTGTTAATGTCTAACTTGATCAAATTCACGGAGTTGCACAACCTCATATACAGTCTTCAGTAGTAGTTACTGTCTACACCCGAACAGGTTGAACTTCACCGGTCACTGCTGAGTAGTCCCATACCAGGACGAATCGGCCATCTTTCAGTGCTTCCAGGTTTCTAATGGTGATCTAACATTGATCGATTCATGGTTTCAAAAATTATAAATAATAGTTCTTGAGCATTTCAATATTACACGATTTGGATTTTTCAACTCAAAATAATTTTAGTTTTCGGAAACCCTGTTTAACTACTACTACTTTAAAATGTGCGAAATGGCCCTAATGTACAATTGTTATACTTTACATAAAGAGGAAAATTTTCGTTACTCACCTGTCCTTCATTTTACTTTAGTTGTAAATCCAGGAGTATTCAAATGTCAATTAAGAGATTTGGTTGAGACCCGAGTCGTTACCTACGGTCATTTTGAATGAATTTCTAAAATACCTTGGTGTTTTTTTTCTTGGTTCTTAATTTTTAACAAACCAACTTTTTAGTAATTGCAGTGTGTGTCCAATGCGTTTCACTGATGCCGAGCACCTCCAGGTTGTATCCTTTCATTTCTGTCGCAACTTGAAATAGTCTTCCAGTCTCCCACAATGTACGAACGTTCCATGTACCTAAAAGAATGTGGTTGCCCTGGTTGTCAGAAGAGGCATCGGCCCCGTGACTTCTGAGGGAACTCGGCTTTCATCATGGGACGTCATAATTCTTCTTCTAACTCCCCGGGGCAGAGTTAAAATGGTTTGAATTAGTTTTTTTCTGGTTAGCGTTTTTTTGGCAAGTTAGTTTTTTGGTGGAATGGGGTCGCCAACCCCATGTCCAACCCTTCTCCTTTATCCGCCGGGCTTGGGACTGGCAATAGCCCCTAAGGTTCTACTGGCGGAGTTTATTTTCATTTTGGTGTTCGATTAACATTTTTCTGGCTAATTTGTGTTTTGTTTTCAAATTTTAGAAGAGAAAAAGATCGATCATGGATTACCGTTCACATTTTCTGATTTAATGCACGTAAATACACTTTTGGAATCATTCAATAGTCAAACTGTTAATGGTAATGATTATTATTCTTATTCTATTACGATTATTTACATGATCAATAATTTTCCGTAATGCTTCAAACTCACTTTTTTTCCACTTTGAAACGACTAGTTTACAGAATCTTAACACTTTTCTAGTTAATGTCAGTTGATTTTGAGTCATTTGTTATAATACCGTTAAGTGAATCCTTACTAGTGTAAACTTGGAAAATAAAATGATTCGTACTTGATTAGTACGTAGATGATTCTGTTCAGATAATGTATTAGGCGATCTCGAAAATTACGTAATCAGTCGTATTTTCTTATTAATCAGGAAGGATTTAACTATGACTAATTAGGTCTCGTGTTTTGCTGCGAGTACGAGGACGGATGTCACTTCCCGGCTGCCCACGCCGTGGAAGGGTATTTCTTGAGGAGCCTGAAAAGGAAGTTAGATTGGTGTTGGTCTTAGAGACATGGAGGCGTGATCTTATAGCCCAAGGGACAACTGCTTGAAGCCGGTCACGCATGGCCTTTTTATGAGAAACTTTTAACGTGTTAGCTCTGCTCTTGTTTATAAAAGGTGAGGTGTGACATGTTTAGGGTCGACCTCATTTAACTCTTTCCTTTCATTGCGAGAAGGCAGCATCGCTGCAGATGCTGGTTGTCCTACGGCAACATCTTACTGATGACATACCCCACTGCAGTCAGCAGAAGGATTTCACTCTCAGACCTTGAGTAACTGCTTTCAGTCTTATCGTTCTGCAATCGACCTGCCTGGCATGATAGAACCTTCAAAAACATATGTTCCAGCCAATATATCTCGGTTGGGTCATCACGATAGGCGAACCCGAACACTCCATCAAGGTAGCAGCAATGGTCGGGATCTTCTTATTCATACGTACTTAATTAAACTACTGAGCTTTATTTACGTTTACTCATTTGTTTGAAGCAATAAACCCGCAACGTTCATAATCTCTCTAATGCTTACAAATCTTATCTTCTCTCGTAACAATGCTCAAAAGCTACTTTTCACAGAGCCTACAATTACCTCTTAGAAAAGTGTAGCTAATTTTGATCATAAAATTTGTTTCAGCAAGTTTATTTTTCCAACCATATTATTATACTGACGATCAATTCTTATCAGCAACCATGATTTACTCAAAACTTAAAAACTGCTTTATAAATTATTCCATAAGATAAGTTTAGTTCGCTAATCATTTAATCAGTCATGATAAATATGAGCATCAGTTGAAGTTATAACGCAAACTACATCAACACCGAAGGTTGTGAATATCAAGACGAATCCATGTGATCAAGTTAGACATCAACACCGTTAGATACCGGCTCAGTCGTCCGATGGTTAGGCGTTCGCGCACAATACCGGATGTCCTGGGTTCGAATCCTGCGGGGCGTAGGAGTCGTGGATGCGCACTGCTGAGGAGTCCCATACCAGGACGATACGGCCGTCCAGTGCTTCTTCCAGGTTTCTAATGGTGGTCTAACATTGATCGATTCATGGTTTCAGAAAATGTGTAAATCCATGTGTGTGCGTAGTAAAAGTAAAAAATTATAGAAGAAACAATGAATTTACGGAATGAAGATTGAGATAATCTTTTAACACTTCAAGAGATCTAGTGGAAGATAAAAACTGAATGCATCTGCGCTTTTATCATCACCAATTCTGAGGCATGTCATCCATCTATTGTCTTCCAAATGCGCAGAATGCAAACAGGCAGTGTATATGTCTGTCTATCTACATAATCATTTGAAAAGTAGTCAGATGGCTGAAGTTACTGTGACCAGTAGTAATATTATCAAGAAAAAACATTGCGTTCTCCATTGGAAATGAAATCATCATTAAGGTAGTTAGTTTGTAAACACTTGACCAGACCAAGTCATTCTCATTACCATCTATGAATTAGTTTTTCCGGCTGCTAATTTCAAGTCAAATATGTATAGATTAATTTTTTGAAAAATAAGCGGGAGATTGCTTAGATTGTTTTAAATATATATATATATAAAATTGATCATTGAATATGTATATTTTTCAGTATGCGCTTAAAATAAGTTTCAAGTTGATTGTTATGAACCTACCTAATAAAGGTGGGGAAAAAAACTACTGCCTAATAAGCGTTGAACTCGAAGTCAGTCAGTTGCAACGTAGAACTTCGTACGTACGTGTACATCAGTTCAGGTTACCATGCCACATTAGCACAGAGACGCAAATGTCAAATCAAATCCCATAGTGATAGAGATAGTAGAGGTATTAATGGTAATGAAGAAGACTAGGGTTTGAAGATATTACGTACTTACTTACGCCTGTTACTCCCAATGGAGCATAGGCCGCCAACCAGTTTTCTCCAACCAATTCTGTCCTGGGCTTCCCTCTCCAGTTCTCTCCAATGTTTGTTCATTCCTCTCATATCTTTCTCTATTTCTCGGCGTAATGTGTTCCTTGGCCTTCCTCTTTTCTTTTTGCCTTGAGGGTTCCATGTGAGGGCTTGTCTTGTGACGCAGTTAGGTACTTTTCGTAGTGTATGTCCTATCCACTTCCACCGCTTCTTCCTCATTTCCTCCTCCACTGGAATCTGACTTGTTCTCTCCCACAGTAGGTTGTTGCTGATGGCGTCTGGCCAACGAATCTGAGGTATTTTGCGTAGACAACTGTTAATAAACACTTGTATCTTCTGGATGATGGCTTTCGTAGTTCTCCATGTTTCCGCTCCATACAGTAGAACTGTCTTCACATTTGTATTGAAAATCCTGATTTTGGTGTTGATTGATATTTGTTTGGAGTTCCAGATATTTTTCAACTGTAGAAATGCATCCCTTGCTTTGCCAATCCGCGCCCTCACATCTGCATCCGATCCACCTTTCTCGTCGATGATGCTGCCCAGATATGTAAAGTTGTTAACGTCCTCGAAAGCATCTCCATCAAGCGTGATTTGATTGGTGCATGTTGTGTTACATCGGAGAATTTTGCTTTTTCCTTTATTTATGTTGAGACCTACTGCTGCAGAGGCTGCTGCTACACTGGTCGTCTTCTCTTGCATTTGTTGTTGAGTGTGCGATAGAAGAGCCAGATCATCCGCGAAGTCCAAATCGTCCAGCTGCGTCCTAACTGTCCAGTTGATACCGTGCTTCCCTCCAGATGTTGACGTCTTCATAATCCAGTCGATCACCAGGAGAAAGAGAAAGGGTGAGAGTAAGCAACCTTGCCTGACACCGGTCTTCACCTCAAAAGAGTCTGTCAGCTGACCTCCGTGCACGATTTTGCAGTTGAATCCTTCATAAGAATTCCGTATGATGTTGACTGTTTTCTCAGGCACCCCGTAGTGTCGAAGAAGCCTCCACAGTGTTTTCCTATCCACGCTATCAAATGCTTTCTCGTAGTCGATGAAGTTGATGTAGAGTGGTGAGTTCCATTCAATTGATTGTTCCACAATCATCCGTAATGTAGCAATTTGGTCGGTACATGATCGATCCTTACGAAATCCGGCCTGTTGATCTCGAAGTTGGGCGTTTCCGAAGTCCTTCATTCTGTTTAACAATACTCTGTTGAAGACTTTGCCTGGTATTGAAAGAAGAGTGATGCCTCTGTAGTTCTCACACTTGCTGAGATCACCTTTATTTGGTATTTTGATCAGGTATCCTTCTTTCCAATCTGATGGTACTTGTTCCTCATCCCAAATCTTCTTGAAGAGGATGTGAAATATTTTTGCGGTTGCTTCCACATCTGCTTTCATTGCCTCTGCTGGAATGTTGTCTGGTCCTGCTGCTTTGCCGCTCTTGATTTGTCTAATGGCCATACTGATCTCCTCAATCGTAGGTGCGCCAATATTATTTGGGAGGTCCTTGGATGCTGCTTCGATGTTGGGTGGGTTCAGTGGAGCTGGTCGATTCAATAGTTCCTTAAAGTGCTCCACCCACCTATTTCGCTGTTGTTCAGTGTTGCTGATTATTTTCCCATCCTTGCTTTTCACTGGTCGTTCTGGTTTACGATAGTTCCCGGCGAGCTTCTTTGTTGTTTCGTACAATTGTCTCATGTTTCCTTCTCTTGCAGCCTTTTCCGCCATCATTGCTAGATCTTCCACATATTTTCGTTTGTCAGATCTGATGCTCTTCTTCACTTCCCTGTTTGCTTCTGTGTATTCAGCTTGTGCCTTGACTTTCTCTGCTCTTGTTCGGCTGACATTAATTGCTGCCTTCTTGTTCCTCCTTTCTTCAACTTTTGCGAGAGTATCAACAGAGATCCATTCCTTGTGATGGTGCTTCTTGCAACCAAGGACCTCCTGACATGTTGAAGTGATTGCCTCCCTAATCCCTTCACAATTGTTCTCCAATGTTGTGTCCTCTCCATTGAGTAGATCCTGAAAGGCCTGGAACCTATTGGTGAGGGTTATCTTGAATTCGTTGAGTTTTACGGTATCCCGAAGAAAGGCCGTATTAAACTTGTGTGATGTTGTCTGTCCCGTTGTCCAGTGCTTCTTTAGCTTCAGTTTCATTTTGGCGATCAGCAAGTGGTGATCTGAAGCTATATCAGCTCCTCTCTTGTTTCTCACATCCTCCATGGTCCTTCTGAACTTTTTGTTGATACAGATATGGTCAATTTGGTTTTGAGCAGTGTGATCCGGTGAAATCCATGTGGCTTTGTGAATGCGTTTGTGCGGGAATATTGTGCCACCGATGACCAGTTTGTTGAAGGCACATAGGTTTGCAAATCTCTCACCGTTTTCGTTCCTTTCTCCCAGTCCATGTCGTCCCATGATGTCTTCATATCCAGTGTTGTCCATTCCAACCTTGGCATTCAGGTCTCCCATAAGGATCGTCAAATCCTTTGGTGAACATTTATCGACGATTGACTGCAGCCTTTCGTAGAATTGATCTTTAACGTCGTCATTGTAGTCGTTGGTAGGTGCATAACATTGGATGACGTTCATTGTAATGTCCTCTTTCTTTGTTTTGAAGGATGCTTTGATGATCCTCGGTCCATGAGATTCCCATCCTATCAGTGCCTTTTGTGCATGTTTGGACAGCATCAGTGCAACTCCTTGTGTATGTGAAGCGTTTTCCTCTTCATGACCAGAGTATAACAGCAGTTCCCCTGAAGCTAGTCTCAGTTGTCCTACTTGTGTCCAATGCGTTTCACTGATGCCGAGCACTTCGAGGTTGTATCTTTTCATTTCTGCCGCAACTTGAAATAGTCTTCCAGTCTCCCACAATGTACGAACGTTCCATGTGCCTAAAAAAATGGTTGCTCTGGTTGTCAGAAGAGGCATCGGCCCCGTGACTTCCGAGGGAACTCGACTTTCACCACGAGACGTCATAATTCTTCTTTCAACTCCCAGGGCAGAGTTAAAATGGTTTGAATTATTTTTTCTGGTTAGCGTTTTTTTGGCAAGTTAGTTTTTGACGGAATGGGGTCGCCAACCCCATGTCCTAGCCTTATGGTTTACCTTACTACCAGATATCACTGCTGTTTCCACAGCCTTTCTGATATCATTCCAACCTGCCTCCGGATGGGAATCACTTGTATGGTCACCTAACTGTTTTTTTTTGAGTTTATCCTGAAATATTTTCTTAGCTTGACATGGTGAGGCCAAGTGAATGATGCTACTCGGATCCTGTATGCGCATTTCCAAGACGCAGCACATATCGATGTCGCCAGATTCTAAAGTTTTAGCTAATGAAGCCTGTTACCCTATTTGACTCAAAGTCCGCACACCT